GGCTTCAAATCAAGACATGGATCACATTAACTCAACGAAACAATCGCAACACACACATGCAAGCTAAACAAGTCACAATCATACAAATGCTCATGAACATGATCAAGATGAAAAATGTGGGTTCTTACACCGAAGATGAAGATAGCAGAGGAGAGAGTGGCTGTGATGCAACTTATCAAAGGTGCATCAATCAGTCTCCATTGAAGTGCTTTGGGATTGTTCACCTCCAAACCAGAGGAATTTCGGATACAATCTGCTGGACATGAATAATATCCATCAACGAATTTCAGCAAACCGGTGGCATGAAGAATGTTCTTCATTTGACTGCTCCAGATGATGAAGTTTGTATTATCCAGTTTTACAGTCACAAGAGAACTCAGATTTTTACAAACAAAAAATTCATAGATAATTTCGATACATAATTTTGATGATGTGGCTTAGGATAAACCATTTACTTTAAAACAAAACACCAGCAAAAATGGCATTTATTTATCAAAATAGCTTTGTCACATTATTCTTGTGATGTTTCATAAATGAATATGATTAGCATTTTCCATGATAAAAATTGGCATTTGAACCCCAAGCAATATTTTTTTTAATAAGTGTGATCAAGTAATTTGCTAACTCTCCGTTCAAAAAAAAAAAAAGTAACTTGCTAATTTTTCCCCCACTTTCATTTTTTCTTTGCAGGCAAGGGCTTGTTACTGAGACTCATTGTCAAAACTAATTTCTTTTTCATAGTTTGTCCAATCTTTGTAAGGATAAAATACATTTATAGTCCTTAAAATATGCATTTCTTGTCATTTTGGTCTTTCAAGTTTCAATTTTGTCAATTCCGTCCTTAAAATTTAAATTTGAGTCAATTTGGTCCAATTATAAACGGACCATCTAAATAGTTAACAGAATAGTAATAAAATGCACACATGATTCTTAAAGTATGTGTTTTGTGTACTTTGGTTTGTCAATTTGGTCTTGAAACATTGATGAAGAAAATGAAATATAACCTTACAATATTGAAGGACGAAATTGACAAAATTGATACTTTAGGGACTAAAATGACACAACATATACTTTAGTGACCCAAGTTGAAATTTATAGTTATTTCATTAACGATTCAAACAACCGTTTGGAATTGGACCAATCTAATTCAAATTGACAACTTTTGAGAACCAAAATGATAAAATTAAAATTAACGGACTAAAATGGCAATGAAATTTGTACTTTAAAGATTAAAACTGTCTTTTATCAAGTTTTTAAATTATATACTTTTGACTTCCATGTTTCATTGATAGTTAATCCTACTATGATAAAGGAGTTGAGCAGATGGATCACAAAGTTGGGGTGTTGAGGAGTCAACTTTATAGAGCCAAGAGGAAAGCACAGATGCAGTCATCAAGAACACTATGAAAAGGTGTGGAATTGCTGTGAAGAACTTAGAAGAACAAATCCAGGGTCAAAAAATGCAACCAATTATCAATTATACTACTTTCAAGCAACAACCAAAGTTCAAGGGTAAAATTAATGCAGGTTAATTGTACTTTTCACTTATGTAATTTGACCCAAATTTCATTTTAATGCCTATAGTTTCAATTTGAATAATTTGATCTCTCTACTTAAAACTCTAGTTTCAATTTGGTTACTCCATCTAAATTCCTGTTAATTTTGTGCATGTATACGTCCCAAGAGGTTGACAAATATCAAAAAATCGTTAATTTTAATGTCTAATTTGAACAAAAGGACCAAATTAAAGTTAGACTTAAACAATAGTTGGTCAAATTGGAAGAGTTAAAAGTGTCAAATATACTCTATGTAACAAAAATGACAAGAAAACATCTTGAAATAGAAGAATGGAAAAGAAGAAGATCATACCATTGACATTACTACTTTGATTCAAGACAGCTCACTTGCTCCCCCAAGTCCTTCACATAACAAGCCCAATCTGGTGGCTTGGCTATCAAATTCTCCAATTGAAGAACAATCTTGGATTGGTGTTGAACCAACTCTGCTTCAACTTGAGCTTATCCATTCTGATAAATCAATTCATCCTCCAATAGTTTCTCCCACAAGATATAATTTTCAGAGCTCAAATCCGGACTCATCGGTCCAGGGGCTGCATTAAACTTTTGGTCCTAACTCGGACTACTTTCAACGTCCAACGAAGCAGAGAATAGTCTTTCCACTTCCGAATGATTTGTTGTAAACTCCTCCAGATTCTTATTTGTTACTTGGTCCTCATTGCTTTGTGGGGTGGCTGCCAATCTCCGTTTCTTCGTGATTTGGCCATTGCACAGTTCTTTTTTCAGCCTCATAAGATGGATGAATTGATGGAGAAAGGCCAGGTTCGAGAATGCTTTGGCCTTGAATATCAGTATATGTTGTTGCTTATACTCGGTGTTTCCCATTCGCTCCTTAACCACGGCCAAGTAACTCTTTGTGTTCTCTCGTTGTTGTTTCAGTTTCATGATTTCCATTTTCATTTTCATCCTATCATTCCTTAGTTTTTCAAGCTCAGTCTCGATTCTGAAATTGGCTGAATCGAGACAGGGTCTCATGACTCCTTGTTGCTGCACATTTTGGGGGTTATGTTTTCACCTCTTTATGTTTTTCAACAAATGTTTTTTCCCTCCTTGAAACGCTTCATTGGCAAATTCCCATCTGTCTGAATCAATCTTCTGAAAACCCTTCATACCAAAAACAATAAATTGCACATATAAGTGAATTGGTACTTTAGTCCTGTAATTTGGTAACTAGCCTTGCTAATGAGAAAAAATGCAAGTATAACGATTTTTACCATATTTTATACTCAATTTAGACTTCGAATAGGAAAATTTCCATTAAAAAAAATTATAAAAATGATTCGAACCTTTATATTTCGAGTTTCTAGAATCATATAAAGGAATTCCTTTGAGAAACAAAACTAAAATCTGCAAAAAGCCTTTTTTTTTTTTTTGGATCAACAAAAGAAAAATCTTTATTGATGAAACACAAAGTCATACTACAACGGAAACATCAATAAAGAGAGGTGAGATTCAAAACATAGAGAGGAATCCAGTTGTCATTAGTACATAACTTTAAAATCAAAGTAAAAAATTATAACTAAAGTACTTTCACTATGGTTCTTCTGTTACTTGACAGTGATAAAATAGCCGGAGAAGCTCAACATCATCTATATGTGACAACTAATACTAAGCTTTCCATTGTGAGACCACCACTCACAGAACTGGGAGTAGTAATTAAATTCGAATGCATGTGCATTCCATTGTATGTGACAACTAATACTAAGTAATATAAAAAATTTGAGACTACAGGAAAACCGCCACAAATTTAACAAAGAACAAAAACTATACCTACAAAGTACAGCATGTGGTCTGGTTAAACGACATCTTCCAGCATCAAGAGGGGAAAACGGATCTTTAATATCATGCGCCCAAATTCTAAGCTTCACAGTGCAAGGTAACTCTGTAGTGGCTGCAGCAGCTAATGATGTTGCAAGATCGGATTGGATCTGGCTAACAAAAGGTTGATGATCACTCTCATCATGTGTGATGTTATTAGAAATAGCACCTTCACTAGATCCAGAAGCAGACATCATGCGAGAGTGTGCAGAACGGTGACGAGAACTAGATCTTCCGGTAACTCTAGAATGACCAACACTGAGAGGGATAACTGAGGGAACTGCTGCAGCAGAATTTTGTCTCTCTAAATGAAGATGAATTTTCATGAGCACCACCATTAAGAGAACTTGGTGTTCGTTGGCCAGCTTGGCTTTGGCCAATCAACCACCCCTGCAAGAACAGTAATTCCCAATATCTCAGGTCCCCAAAAGGAAAAAATTGATTACTTCTCTGTTCAGGTTGCACTTCAGCATTTTCCATAGAATCCATTGCAGGTTGAGGACCAGCCTTTTCCATGTGTTCTTCTGGTACAGGATTTATTAACTTTTTCTAATCCACATGTCTTTCCACATGCCTGCATTTATTGATTTGGTCAAAATTCCCTGATCAGCATTTAAAATCCCCTCATACATATAATTATAGATTCAATCCGTGTATAGTTACTGCAATATCCTTTTCAATTTCTCCCATACATTATGGTTACTGATAAGATTGTTAAATTATTTTTATAAAAAATCTTAAAAAACATAAATTATATATTAAAAAAAATCTAAAACAAATATAAAATATCTATAATTATCCCGTGCATAGCACGGGTGATAGGCTATTACACATGTAACCAAACACCCCAAAATGGGTTTACAATATCTAATAGAAAGAAATGTGGCGTGTTAGAGTAATTAATTTATCTTTACCTCAAAAAGAAAATCCTTACAATTTAATTGTGCTTTTAACTTCAATCCAATCTAATGCATTCCGAATCCAGTCCAATCCAATCCAATCCTTCATTACTCAACAAAGTTTTTATATGGATGCGAATCTGATGAGAGGATTTGTTATCCTTTGGATTCCTCTTCTGTGCTTTCACTTGAAAATATTTGTTCAACCTATATTTGTATGCTTTATAGATAGTACTAACATATGACAAAATGTATATTTTGTTTAATCTCTAATGCTGTTACAAGTATATGAAATTTGTTCAACCTACATTTATATAGAAATATTTTTATGATTTTGTTATTATGTACTCTATTTAATCTCTAATGTCATTATAAGTAGATGGATTTTGTTTCCATTTGGATGGCTCCTAAAAGTCATTAGATATTGTTTTATTCATTTGAATTCCCAAATCTGTTTATCCTTTGGAAATAGAAGTCACTTGCTTAATTTTCCTATTGGATGGGCTGATATAGTTTGTTAGTCACAATTGGATATTTGTCCAATAGAAAAATAAGTCTTTATGACAATGAATAAAGCTGTACACACCAATTAGTTTACTAATGGATGATGTGACATAGTTTTATTGATTTTGAGTCTTTGTAATTTGTTTGATGAGTGGGGTCCATAATTTTGAAATTATAATGTTATAAGATGTGTTAGTATACTAATTAGTATAGTAATTGATGTATGCACAGCACCATGTTATGACAATAGTATTAGTCTGTTAGTTACTATAGAATTCTTAGTGGATGGGGTAATGCGTGTACAAGGGTCAAATGGATTTAGTATCAGATTCAGTTTCCTTTATTTACAAAATTCTATATCCTTAGTTTATGTATGAAACTGCAAGACCCATAGTGAAAGTACTTTAGTTATAATTTTTTACTTTGATTTTAAAGTTATGTACTAATGACAACTGGATTCCTCTCTATGTTTTGAATCTCACCTCTCTTTATTGATGTTTCCGTTGTAGTATGACTTTGTGTTTCATCAATAAAGATTTTTCTTTTGTTGATCCAAAAAAAAAAGAAGGCTTTTTGCAGATTTTAGTTTTGTTTCTCAAAGGAATTCCTTTATATGATTCTAGAAACTCGAAATATAAAGGTTCGAATAATTTTTATAATTTTTTTTTAATGGAAATTTTCCTATTCGAAGTCTAAATTGAGTATAAAATATGGTAAAAATCGTTATACTTGCATTTTTTCTCATTAGCAAGGCTAGTTACCAAATTACAGGACTAAAGTACCAATTCACTTATATGTGCAATTTATTGTTTTTGGTATGAAGGGTTTTCAGAAGATTGATTCAGACAGATGGGAATTTGCCAATGAAGCATTTCAAGGAGGGAAAAAACATTTGTTGAAAAACATAAAGAGGTGAAAACATAACCCCCAAAATGTGCAGCAACAAGGAGTCATGAGACCCTGTCTCGATTCAGCCAATTTCAGAATCGAGGCTGAGCTTGAAAAACTAAGGAATGATAGGATGAAAATGAAAATGGAAATCATGAAACTGAAACAACAACGAGAGAACACAGAGAGTTACTTGGCCGTGGTTAAGGAGCGAATGGGAAACACCGAGTATAAGCAACAACATATACTGATATTCATGGTCAAAGCATTCTCGAACCCGGCCTTTCTCCATCAATTCATCCATCTTATGAGGCTGAAAAAAGAACTGTGCAATGGCCAAATCACGAAGAAACGGAGATTGGCAGCCACCCCACAAAGCAATGAGGACCAAGTAACAAATAAGAATCTGGAGGAGTTTACAACAAATCATTCGGAAGTGGAAAGACTATTCTCTGCTTCGTTGGACGTTGAAAGTAGTCCGAGTTAGGACCAAAAGTTTAATGCAGCCCCTGGACCGATGAGTCCGGATTTGAGCTCTGAAAATTATATCTTGTGGGAGAAACTATTGGAGGATGAATTGATTTATCAGAATGGATAAGCTCAAGTTGAAGCAGAGTTGGTTCAACACCAATCCAAGATTGTTCTTCAATTGGAGAATTTGATAGCCAAGCCACCAGATTGGGCTTGTTATGTGAAGGACTTGGGGGAGCAAGTGAGCTGTCTTGAATCAAAGTAGTAATGTCAATGGTATGATCTTCTTCTTTTCCATTCTTCTATTTCAAGTTGTTTTCTTGGCATTTTTGTTATACAAACTATATTTTACACTTTTAACTCTTCCAATTTGACCAACTATTGTTTTAAATTGAACAATTTAGTCACTATACTTAATTTGGTCCTTTTGTTCAAGTTAGACATTAAAATTAACGATTTTTTGATATTTGTCAACCTCTTCAGACGTATACATGCACAAAATTAACAGGAATTTAGATGGAGTAACCAAATTGAAACTAGAGTTTTAAGTAGCACAAACTACCAATAGGTCCTAATAGTTAGACTTAATTCTCATCAAGTTCTATTGAAAATAAGTCTTAGTAAAATTGTTGCTAAAAATAATTTTTTTGTGATAATTTTTTATATATGTCGTTAAAAATCGACAATTAGTGACTTTTTTTGGTCATGATTTTTATAAATTGTCGCTAAAACTTACAATTAGTGACATTTTTTTATGATTTTTTTTTTCATGGGACCTATTAGACAATAAGTCCATTTATTAGGACCTATACGTAAGTACATCAAATTTTAAATTCAAATACTAAAAATCAAAAGTAAAATTTCAGTCAAATTAAAGGGTTGGAAATTTTAATGTACTCTTAAATTACAAATTACTAGCCTCTTGACATACGCAAATAGGTGTGCAAGTAATGATGTGTGCTACTCTCAAAAAAGAGAAGAAATTTTTAGAAATCACCTTTGAATTTGAAAATTGTGAGCAATTTCACACCATTACCCTTTAAAAAATATGGAAGAATTCATTTAAATGCTATATAAAAATCACTTTATGGACAATCTTGGAAAAGGTAAAAAAAAAAACATTGCTCAACTTTACTTTTGGACTGTTTCTTTTACAATATAGTATAGATGTTTACATATCTCATTGTGTTTGGTATGACAGTGTTGCATTTACGGGGCTTCTTTTTCTACAACAAGCAGAGAGGAGAGTGGGAGGTGTAGAATGGATCCTCTTGATTGACCTTCGTTTTTCTTTGGCAAAGAAGTTCCACTAGTGAATTATCAAAGGAGGTGCTTCTATCTCTTTTGTTGCCACCAATGTTCTACTCTTACTATGTTTTTTTTGGTTGTATGATT